TTTAGCTCTTTTCACCCCGCCCCTCTCGACCTATCAGGGCACCACAGGGCTCGGAGGCCCGGCTTTCCTCGGACTATTACCACGATCCGAGGCACGGAGGCGTGTAGGGCAGACTCTTGATGGCAGTGGCGCGGGGCACGTCAGGCGGAGCGTTGGGTAGCAGAGCCGAGGTCGGGACTCTGGAGGACAGCGAGAGCGCGGGTTGATCGAGAGCGTGGCCTCGGAGCCGACGACGATGGATGCAGTGAGTACTTGATTCCTTCCCCGCTCCTTCTTGCGCGTTCCCCAATCCGGGCGTTGGTAGGGTTCTTCGAGCCAGTGTACGGACACGCTTCTTTCATGTTCTTGTATGTGTACCCAATCTCATTTCCGGGAGCATTCGATCACGACGACGGCGTCCGCGGGATCATAAACATAAACTGCGCGTATTTAGTACACTGTGTTCGGGAAGTGAAAAGACGGCGAGATAGAGGTGGCACGATACGACGTGCGACCGCGAAGGACAGGCGCGAAGTGGAGAAAAGGATAGGGTGGACGCGGGGGATCAGGCGGGAGGCGCACGGACGTGGCTCATCGGTGGTGAAGCGGTTGTACAGTCGAAGGGAAGCAAGTGAGACAGACGGGCACGAGTACGTGTGAGGAGAGAGCTGGCATGTATGGCTAAGCAGTCCTGAACTAAATACACGAGCAACGCGTGGTCCTGGGGCGTAACTGTAAGCAATCGAGCCTCCCTTGCGCTGGACGCGTTCGGGAGATCGTACTAGTCACCTGGGCTTTCATATTCCTACTCCGGCAAGGGCGGTCGGGGACGCGGGACATGCATCGTCGGCTTGCCGCACTCGCCCCACTGACAGCTGAGGAGGACCTTGATCGACCGCTTGTGCTTTGCTCATAGTGGGTGGGGACGGCGTGCAGGGATCGAGGAGGGCGAGTGGGCGGCGCGAGATCCTTTGAAATTTCCATCCGATGGTGACCGCGGAAGCCGGAGAGATGGGGATAGAACGCAGGACCGGGCAGACATGCGAGTCGGGGCTGGTTGTTGTCGGTTTTTCCGTCGCAAATGACATCGGCGTGGGTGGAAGAGGAGGTGGGGCCGCAGACTGGCCCGCCAGCATTCAGGTTCGGGGGAACTTTGACATAAGGCACCACGTTCCCAGGGTCCGGTACGAGTATACGTACGTGTCTGGGCATCGTGCGTGCTACCGCTCATATCGGTACTTCGCGGAGTAGAATCCTGCACGTACTACCAATCAGCTTCCGCGTATACAGCGCGTCAAGCGTGATAAAACACTCACCATCAAGGCTTGTCGCAGCGTCAAAGTCTTTGCGTTCGATGAGCTCGCGTGCCCTCTCCCCGGCCTCCCTCCAGATCTCCACCGGGGTCCGCGCCGCGCCGTCGCCCTCTACCCACCACCACCGCTCGTCGCGCGGGATCTCCGTCCGCAGCTCCCTCAGCCTCCGCAGCGCCGGGCTGAAGAACTCGCTCGTGGGTCCCCACCGCTGCTCGATGGCGTTCTCGCGCGCGAGCTCCGCCATCACCTCCGCGTCGAGGCCTTCGTGCCGCGCGCGCCCGCGTCTGGCGTCGAAGCCGGTAGATCCGGGGAGGCAAGAGGAGAGCGAGAGGACGCGGAGCGTCGGGACGGCCTCGACGATCCGCAGAGGGAGCGGGCGGAGCGCTTCGACGCGGCGGGATTCGGTCGCGCGCCAGCCGTCCACTTCCGCTATGCTCGACGCGTGGTAGTATTGTGGGATCGGCGGGAAGCGCAGGGACAAGTGGACGAGTGCCAGCGACTTGGATCGCAGTGCGGCGAGGAGCGGCTCCTGGGTGCGGCGCGGGGGGTCAGTGGTCGGGAAAAAGAGCGGGGGGCCCGGGAGGCGCGACAAGGACATGACGGACCATGTATTGGCGCACGTCGTACTCGCCCGGCGCGACGACGATCTCGAGCGAGCGCAGCCCGGGCGCGGCACCACACAGCGTGTCCCAGACACGACCCGGATCCCTCATCGTGGGTGCCGTGTGGAGCTCGAGAGCGGTGGGCCGGACGGCCGAAAGAAGATCGAGGGTGTCGCAGAAGTCGATTGAGTTGGATATCGGCGTGCTGGCCCCGTATGCCAACGACCCGACGTGCCCGATGCGCCTGCTAGCAGCCCGTGGGATGAAGGCGATGGAGGGGACGTCGAGCCGCTTGAGTCCGACAGGCCATTGGTCTTCTTCTTCCATGGGAAATACCACGGGCTGCCCTCCCTCCGCATTCAGCAAAAGAGACAAGGTGATGGTGTTTGGACATAGGGGGATGATACCAGGGGGATCTGAGCAAGACAGCGGAAGGAGAGGTGGCGAATCGAGGGAAGGACGGTTTGGATTTGACTAGGGAGTCGGAGGGAATCCGTTGGCACGAGGTACGAGACGAGGGCGAGGGTGTGTAGGCTCTGCATAGAGGAGAGTCCGGACACGAGGGCCGCGAGGTCAATGTCTCCAGACTCAAAGTGCATCTCGTCGAATTCAAGAGTCAACGATGCCAGGCACCGACTCGAGAGGATCTCCGGCAGAGCAGCCACCGTCTCAGGACCGACATCTATCAGGCGTGCTTGCTCGAGGTTGTGCATGGAGCCGATAGCGTCTACGAGGAGTCTGTCTTGGTGTACGAAGAACTCGAAGCTGTGGATCTCAATAGTGCGGAGGTTGGAGGCCTGGCTGAGAAGTTCGCGCAAAGGAGGAACATCTACATCGCAAAAGTGGCGGAGGGTGAAATGGCGGAGGTGCTGGACGCGGGAAACTTGGGAAAACGGCTCCGGTGCGCGCATATACCGTGACAGTGCGCGGGCTTCGGAGGCGTCCTTATCGTTTACTTTGAGGTTTCTGTCCCAGCACATGTTGGCGAAGACGCGGGATATGGCAAGGGAGTAGGCGTGTCTGGAGGTGAGAGAGGTCGCGAGCGCATCGTCGCGGCCGAGGAAGGAGAATATCGCGAGAAGGACGTCGTCGTGGAGAGAGAGAAGGGAGATGGGGTTCATGTTTGCGCACGAACCACGAGTCGTCGTCGGTAGCTTGGGAGTTCCTTGAGAGCGGTGCGAGTCTAGGCGGAACGTGTGGAAGAAGAGACAGAAAGATGGACTGGGGAGAGAGATGAGGCCAGGCGACGGTTGGGAATACGTAGTGGGAGGAAGCAAAATTGGGTGAGACGGCGTCAACGCTCAACGTCTCTTCGTCCTCTTCTCCCATCATGCATCAAGTTTCGGCCTCCTTCTTTCTCATCGTCGTCTCGTCTCCGCTATGCACACGCTCTTTCACTCCTATCAGCGCAGCGTCATCCATGAGCCCCGATCCTCAACGACCCAGCGTTTGCCTGTTAGTGGGCCCCGTACGGCTTCATGCTCAGGTTGGAGTCTGGAGTCATCGCTGCTGGGAAAAGCACCGTCGTTCTTACGGTCTCGCAGGGGATGGTCGGACCTGTAGGTGGGGGCTCTGTGGTGTAAGGTGGCGTCTGTCGGTGCGTGTTCTTGCTCTCGTTCATCGCGCCGTCTTCCCCCATCCACGCCATCAAGCCCTCTTTGCCTCGTCTTGGTTGATTTGCTGCATCTCCAGCTCGACTTGCGTGGCATCCGTCACGTCTCACGCAAGGCTAGCGACGGCGACAACTGCCACGTCGCCTTTCCACAGCCCGGTCTCCGTCCCCTCGTGCGGACGATCTCCACGTTTCTCGCCCTCGCGATCTCGTCATGCGCGCCCCCCACCCTACGACACCGACGAAGGCCAAGTGTCCGCTCAGGTCAGAGGGTGTGCCATGCGGCTAAACCGGCGGCGGCGGTGAGTAGGGGGGAGGGGGGACACGCAGGGACGAGGCCAGCGAGAGCAGGGACGGACAAAAGGGCACGCGGGGTCGTCGAGAGTGGCGCTCATGTCGATCTGGGGACAACGCTTGGTGCTTTTCTGAAATGAGTCACTACGCTCTTCCCGTCATGTTCGAACGGTCTTCGGACATCTATCCCTTCCTGGGTTGGGGTTAGAGCATCAAGTGCTGGAGTGTCGCTGCGACTTTACAATTCACTTCCGGAATCGATAGATCACAATGAATAGTACGTCTCTGAGCTCTGCAGGACTGCACGCTTGACCTACATGTATACATGCAGTGCTGGAAGGTTATTTTGTGCAGTTGCGGTGCGCGGGAAGTCAGAGGAAAGGTATGACGCGCCACCGCGTGCAGAGAATAAGTGCAGAATGAGAAGGCCTACACGGTCTTGTGGTCGCGTTCGACGGGTGATACTGAAGAGAGAGTACGACAGAGGACAGCGTAGCTATCTACATACTAGGCAGACCGGAGGACCTAGTCCCGGGTGACATCGGTGCCTGTGCCAGGAACAACCCAGTGCTAGCTGTCGCACATTCTTGCAAAGATCTTGGCCTAGGAAGTGCGAACGCGAAAGAAGATCCTTCAAAAGCGTCCACTCGAGCTCGACTAAACTCTTCCGCCGCGCTTACCCAACTCGTTCAAACTCCAGCGGCCTACGTTCCGATGAGGTTTTCTATCTCAGGCTCCCTCGTTGGCTCTCGTCTTGTCTTTGAGTGCTTCAACACTGACGCATTCCCTTCGACAACAGGTAGAACTCATCACCGGGGAAACCATGGATCCTATCGACCGCTGTCCCATCGAAAGCTTTACCAAGACCTTACAACATGTCGTTCATCCTGTCTCATGTGCTCGCAATCCTACCGTGGTTTCGTCTGCTCCTCGTATCCCGACTACGGAAAAGTGGCTCAATCTGCTCCTCGATCGGGCTCATGGTGCTTCCCTCGAGATCAACATAAACTCCGCGAAGACTACTCATCTGGATTTTGCGCCGATGCTCCACCACGCCTCCGACCATCAGGAAGCGACTCAAGTACCTCTACTCCGCCCACTTCAAAGCCAAGCTGGAGCTCTCACAGCAGCGATTTTGAGACCATCTTTTGAGTGCGTAAGTGTGAGCTCCGATCGTGGAGGATCTACAGAACAATGTACTTAGACGTTAGCGCAAGCTAAACGAGCAGTCAACAATTGGGATACCAGTACGACGGCGATTACAAACTGCGTTCTCGCCTCACGATGACCTACCCGCCGCGAGCGCGCGCACCAGGATCTCGCTGAATCGCGCGACGAGCCGCTCCTCCAACTCGCGTTGGTACCGCTCCGCACGCTCCTCCAACTCCCGCTGCAGCGCTGCCAGCCGCTCTTCCAGCCGCTCGAATCGCGTGCCCATCGACGCGAGCCCGTCCTCGAGCGCGGCGAGCCGCCGCTCCTGCGTCCGCGCGTCCTCGCTCGCACCGTCGCCCGCGCGCGGGTCGTCAGGCGCGTTGGGGTCGTGGCCGAGCGTGAACTTGACCATCGGATGCGTGTAAACGTGTGCGCGGTCCGGACGTCCGGCGGTCACTCGGACGCCGTGCGCCATGCACATCACGCACAGGAAAGTGTCTGGGTGCGAAGGGGTCAGCGCGAGCGGCGCCGAGCGCGCAAGAGGCGTGTACTCGCCGCTTTTGTGGCCGTAGAACCACGGCTGCGGGAACGGCCGCGTACATCCCTGGCAGCGGATGAGCGTCTTCCCCTCGCACGTATCGCAGACGAAGTTAACAGGCGTATCAAAATGAGGTCTGTAGGGTCGAGGCCAGTGAGGGGCTCCTCGGACGAACCGGAGCAGGTGATGCAGAGCCAGCACTCGTTCATGTATACCTGCGTCCTGTGTGTTGGGGTGCGACAAACCCTCGAGCAGAAGGTGTTCTACATGCTGGACGGGCGTGAGCATGAGGCACGCGACGGCGCCAGCTTGAGCGGCTCCGTGAGGGTCGTGCGGTCGGTACGGGGAGGGGCGCGGGCGCGGCAAACCAATGGGTGAGCGAACACAGAGCAAGTTCCTGGACAAGGCCCTTGAGCGGTGGTGACGCGAGACGAGCACGGCGACGCTCGAGGCGCAGAGCGTTGGGTTGTCTCTCCGCGCGTCGCTTTTGATTCCCGCATCTGAACGTGGTGCCCTCTGACGGCGGGTCGTCACCTCGCAGGGAATATTGACTTTCTTCGACGCGCAGAGGCTGGAGCTACAGTGCTGGCTGCGGTGTGACGCCTCCTCTCCGTCACCTCTATTTTGTGACCCAAGGCTGACATGCGCGCATTGGCTTCCTTACAGCTGACGTGACCCCGCCTGAATGGGGTGGCAAAGAGAGTAGCTCAAGGAGTACCAGGCCTGGATGGCGTCCTCTACAGCGTAGAGCTTCAATTCCCTCGCGCAAACGCGTATGTCGTTGCGCGAACACTTTTCTTAGCTCCGGGAGCGAGATGTCCTAATGTACTTGTAGTTCAGTGCTTCTCCTAATAACAATTCTGTTTCTTTGCAATGTGTGCGCTCCATTGGCGTGAATATTCACTCGCACCATCAACAGTACAGTCCATCTGGGATAGTGTCGGTCCACCGCGCGACTATTCTGATATACTTGGATATCACCACACCTCGCAATTTCCTCATCTACCACCTGCTACTCAGGTTTGGAACACACAGATATAGCTGACCGCGGCTCCTAAAAGCTTTCCGCGCGTGCATCGTGATCCTGCGCCTGTCCTCTGCGCCGCGCATAAACAACACTTAACGATCCCCGCGTATGAGCATGAAATACGCTGCGAAAGGAACTGCTTGTATTCTGCTGCCACGCGAACGCGTCTTCAACTATCACAAGCGTCGACCTGCGATGTTCCACTGTACGGTGGTCAACAGGGATGTAGAGAAACGGGCCCACAGTGAGTACTGGTGCGATCCGAGTCACGACGCCGTCGACTCGCCCCATCAGGAGGGGATTTCCGCACGCAGACATCACAGGGTGAGTTTATGCGGCACCCGAACCTGAAAAGGCGTTCTGTTTTACGAGATCGGCACATGTAAGATTCTCGTGGAAACAAAGATTCGCAATAGATTAAATTGACGACGTAGGTCTACGAAAGAGACCGAGGAGCGGGTATATGAGGCAAGCGAAGTTGTGGAGGACGGTAATTGCGGGAGATGAGGTGACGACGAAGCGGCGACTCCCCAGGCTCCTCACCATGCGAGGGCTGCCACAAGTCACGGTCAAGAGGACGGGTGAAGCATTACACCCACAGACCGCGCTGTGGAAGCCGACGCGCGCATGTCAGCCGTGGATGACAAGATAGAGGTGACAGAGAGGCTTACCGCAGCCAGCACTATAGCTCCAGCCTCTGAGCGTCGAATGAAGTCAATATTCCCTGCGAGGAGACGACCGACCGTCCGAGCGCACCGAGCGCAGATGCTGGGGATCAAAAGCGACGCGCGGAGAGACTCACCCAACGCTCGGCGCGCGAGCGTCGCCGTGCCCGTCTCGCGTCACCACCGCTCAAGGGCCTTGTCCAGGAACTTGCTCTCTGTTCGCTCACCCATTAGTTTGCCGCGCCCGCGCCCCTCGCCCGTACCGACCGCACGACCCTCACGGAGCCGCTCAAGCTGGCGCCGTCGCGTGCCTCATGCTCACGCCCGTCCAGCATGTAGAACATCTTCTGCTCGAGGGGCGACCGGTTCTGCACCTCCGTGACGCGCGGGAGGCGCACTATATCGCGAGGGCATCGGCGGCCTGCAGTCCAGAGGATATTGCGAAGAGAGGGTCTTTGTCGAGGCAAAGGAGGTGCATCATGGTCTCGGTCAGGTGATGGGGAGTGAGTCTTGCGTTCGAGGGACGTGTTCGCGTGAACGATGACAGTGCGCACTGGGGTTTCAGAGCGCAAAAGACGTGCTTGGGAGTCGGTCCAGAACACGACGTGATAGCGTACGTACTACCACGGCCTTCCATGCAGCCAGAACCCACCTCTTTCCGTGCTTTCTGCAGTGTCACCAATCTCCATCTCTCACCACCCGTTGCTGCCCGGTGTGGCGACGCATGGTTCCGCAGACGGGGATTAATGGTGCAGATGTTTGGGGGGGAAATTAAGAAAGAAACAGTGCGGATGTACTGCGTCGTCCAGTCTTGAATACACGAATGGAGAGCGTATCAAGTATGAGGAGACGACACAACTAACCAGGGAAAACACACGCACCGGAGTGAACAGCCATTTTCGCTCCTATGAGCGCGCCCATAGACGTCACGAGCAATGATCACCCTCTCCTAAGGCCAGATTTTGATAAGTGGAACATGCTGGATCGCTGCTTGAGACTGTGAGCAAGCCGGAAGGCAAGCCCGCACGGGAGTGTTGCGCGGCGTGCCATTTTGTGAGGGGGTTGAATTTCTTGGTGAAGCATGGATGGGTTCGGCAGAGCAAGGTCATAGATTCTAGAGAGAGACGAAGCTGAGGTAAAACTGAGGTAGAAGGAGAAGGAGAGATACGAAGGCAGTAGTGTCTAGTGCGTGCGTATTGGAATTTGATGGCAAAGCAGTCAATGGGAATAAGGTTCGAGCTCCGACCGGGAACACGCGAGGCACTCGGCGCTACACTGGACTCCCCTGAGTCGACGATCAGCTTGTTCGATAACGGGCTCGCTCATTTTCGTCCTCATAGCTCCAGACGTTTCTCTAAAATATCTCAAGATGAACCGCCCAAGTTCGGGTCTTCTCTCTCTCGACGATGACGTCCTCCTCGCGACTTTTTCTTTCCTGAATTCCAAGGCGGCACTGGCCACAGCGTCAACCTCAAAACGCGCCTACAGACTCGCGATCTCTCGCGTCTTCGCCGATATTTTCTTCGGTAGAAGATACGGTACGGATGAAAAGGATGGCTCCGAATCGCTCGGCCTGTCGCGCTACATGTGCGCACCCGAACCATTGTCCCAAGTGCCCCGCATTCAACACCTCCGCCACTTCATCATCGGTCACGTAAATAAAGTTGATCTTCCTCCTCTTTATAGCCTCTTTTTTGAGGCTTTGAACCTCCGCACCATCGAAATTAGGAACATCGAATTCTTCATCGACGACAACGGGCTTGCCACCAAAGCGATCGGCGCGATGCACCACCTCGAGCAGGCCGATTTCGCACAATGCGGACCTGCAACGGTCTCCGCTTTTCCAGAGCTGTTGTCAAGCCAAAAGCTTACCTCTTTGACGCTGTATTTCGACGAGGACATCGTCGACGTTCCCACTCTCTTCTTGGGCCTCTCCTCCGCCCCGGGCATACGCACTCTAAAAATCGCACTCAACTACCTCCCCAGTGCGCCGCCTATGCGTCCCTCCCACAAATTTGCTCTCTCCTCAATTCGTCACTTTTCCCTCACCTCCTTTCCGGGCCCAGTCTCTGCACACATCATCACGCTTTGTCCCAACATTGACACACTGTTACTCAGGCTCTTTCACCGGCACAGTTACCCCGCTACGTTCTTTATGTCGGCGGAGGACAGATGGCCTGCCCAACTGAAAGAGCTCTCTCTTCCGATACGGATCACCATCGCAAAAGACACCGTCCAACGGATGAAGCCCGTCTCCTGCTTATCGTTCGGCGACGAAACCCCGATCCCCGGCGGAGCGGACTTCGAGGAGCCGGAGGAAGCCGGCAGATCGGACTTTGAAGACTTGCTCCAGTTCCTCGAGACCTTCCGCCCCACCGTCCTCGAACTCCACACGAAAAGCGTTCTCGCCGAGGCAGGGCGAATGTGGGACACCCTGCGCGGCGCGGCGCCCCAGCTCCGCTCCCTCTCGATCATCGTGGAGGATGGCGAAAATTGCGACGCGCGCGAATACGTGGTACGTCCTTTTCCTGTTTTACTACGCACAACTTGACGATCCTCCCGCGACCACAGGATCCACTCATCGCCGCCCTCCGATCGACCTCGCTCATCTGCCTCTCCCTCGACTTCCCACGCCCCAGCTGGCGCCTCGACTTCTCGAACATGGCCGACGTCCACAGCATCTGCATCCCCGAGATCCAACGTGCCGAAACGCTCCGAGCGCTCCCCTTGCGACTCGCCGAGGCCGTCCCGTCGCTCCGCGTCCTCGCACTCTCGTCGTGCAAGCTCGGCAGAGTCTTCAACTGGGGGGTATGTGTTGGAATCTGCTCACGTGTATGGCAAGCTCGGTCGTACCTTACTTGTGCTTAGTCATCGTGTAGATAGCCATCGTCCCTCGTCCCGCACTCGCCTCACGCGTTTGCCCTTCACCACCACCTCGTTCTCTCCCGCGTCCGTCTGTACTCGCCTCCCGGTGCCCATAGGGACCAACCGCGTCGTATCGATTGCCTTTACCCCCTCGTCCGACCTCGACCGAGCCGCCGACTTCTAACACAAACGCGTACCCTTGCCCGGAGGTCATTCCGCGCCCGCGCCCGGCCTACTCGTTGTCCGCGCCATCCGATCTCGACGATCCGAAGCCCCCTCCGACCCGCGATCACTTCTTCGACTCCCGACCCGTTCACGACCCTCCGATCCCGCTTTCTCCCCGCCGATCTTCGACCAGGACCCGGGCAACTCCACCAGAGGTATGTCCGGTCGACCCGCTAAAATCGCCCTCGCCTAAGATAACTTGTCATTGGGCGCTAAGATAATTCGGACATACATCCGCTAGGCGCCTTACCACGTGACCAATGATGTCGTGTTCGCCGCGCGCATTTTCCCGAGTGTTCAAGCCCTTGTAGAGCCCACCGGCACTCTGAGTCGTTATTGTGCAGCTTATTTGAATGTATGGTACATGGGTACAATACGTATGTCTCGTAATACACAAACCTACAGATGCAGGGAATGATACAACTACTACACCGTGCTACTGCCACTGCTCGGGTGACCCGAGGGTCATTTCAACATGACCCGCACCGTCACCCACGCAAACGTGT